GAGCTCCTGTGCTAAGTTCTGTATTTGGGTCTTTTAAAAGTTTGTTTCCATTTTATTTTGCCTTTGTGATTGGGATTCAGTATTTCAGCTAATGAAGATAACTTTGAATTTGATTCTGTTAACCCAGCATATTAGCTATCTTCCCAGATCTGTGTTAAATGTATATTAAGTAGTTATCATAAAATATTTATAAAAGTATTACTGAAAACACTATCAAAAAGGGAAACCACAAACTATCAGAAAATATTTCTGAAATTTACTTCATATTATTGACCTACAAACTGCTTATTGTTTTTCAGCTAGCCTTGGATTTACTTAATTTTGTTATCCAGTCAGATATCTTTGTATTATCTATAAGGCTCTCATGAGAAACTTTTAAAACTTTGCTGGAGTCCAGTTTTTCTACATTAGGTATTCTCCAATCTACCAGGGTTTGTCAGTCAGTTGTTTGTGGAAGGAAAGAATTGGAAGGCACCAGGGTGACTGAGCTGTTCTAGGTTGTTCTATCTGAGATAGGACAACATTGTGGATGCTGGTGCCATGCACCAAGATAAAGAGCGGTGGAGGAAGGGCTGGTTTGGGGGTTAAGGCTATCTTGGTCCGATAGTGGCTGCTGGGCCTCCAGGTGCCCACATGGAGCCCTCTAGAGGCTGGCCAACCATCCAACACTGTGTGCACCTTGTGGTGGGCCGCAGTTGTGTACAGCATGGAGTGTTGACAGTGTGGACTGGAGAGCCTATGGAGTGCAGAAAGAGGTTCAGGGTGGAATTGAAAGGAGATGATAAACATTCCCAAGTTAAAGAAATTAATGCCTGGTAACCTTTGTCTTCTTGGTTAAATGGGAACAAATCTCATTATTACCGGAGAGGCAGAACTGGAGATTTGAGAGCCGTGAATGTTTTGGAATCAGGTTGGGAAATAGGAAAGGGGGCTTATTAAGGTTTGGGAAAGGAATGCTAGGCACGAGGGAGATAGATGTTATTCCTAGCTTGCCTCAGACAAGCACGCAGACCTTTCTCCCTGTCCCTGAGGATTTTTTACTGCAGAATATTACAGAAATGGTTCTTACCTGGGAGTTGTATAAGAATGAAGAAGTAGAGGTGTGTGTGTGTATATGGGAATGCAGTGGTGATTCAGACAGATACTCCAAAGAATCCTTGTTACTGTCAAGGTAATAACGAACAGGGAAATGAGAATAATGGTTGGGGTTGAGGGAGTTGGTTCTAAATTCATGTAGTGGAACTGAGTCTTTTGGGCTTTGGCCTCAAAGCACCTTGTTGGGACTTTAATAGAAGAGAGAGTATCCTCTTGGCTCACTTTGAGTACCTTTGGATATCTCTTCACTATTTTAGTGTCATCTCCACAGGGTATTCCTGGAGAACAGGGAGCATCTTCTTAGCACCTGAACTTAACACTTTCTGTGCAAGAATAGATTTCTGTGCTTCCTTGCTAGCTTGCAAATGTGTCATCCATTTAGCATATGAAACACCAGCACAGTGCCTGGCATGCAGTGGACACATACACATGTTGGATGGTCTGTTGGCTGAGGTGAATACCGAGTCAGCCCTGGAGGTGCTATGCTGAGGGCCCTGCCTCTGGAGCATCCTGCAGGAACAGAGGGGCTTTCATAGCTGAGGGTAGATGGGTCTACTTCAAACCCTTTCATGTTCTTCCCTACTAAGAATCCAGCTTCAATTAAAGTTTATGCTTCCTAGGGGAAAAAATGGAAACATCATTGTATTCAGCAGGTCTCTAGAAGAATTTCTTTCATGTCCACAATTTCTGTGAATCCAGATGGGATTAATATATTATAGACTTCATCTCTAGATAGTCTTGCAAATTATGCCAGAAACATTTCCCATATATGTTTCATAGCTCTTCTAGGAGAGCTAGTATCTCAGCCTCTGCCAGCTGCTATCTACACTTAGAAATATATATATGTTTGAGGTCTAACCCTTCTCCACTTTTACCATACAGTGTATTTCTATGCCTCGTAATCACTAAATTCCCCAAAGGCCTGGGTTAGTTACTTTTCTCTTGTTGGTAAGACAAAATACCCAACACCCAAAGTTAAAGGGGAAAGGTTTTATTTAGCTCACAGTTCATAGAGGTTTCAGTCCATAATCGGCTGGCTTCAAGACAGGGTAGCACATGGCAGGGGGAAACAGTTCATGGCTGCAGAAGACAGCAAAAACAACAAAGGGCCTTAACAGTGTCTTTCTGCCCCTTTTATCCAGACTACCTAGGGCAGGTAGCACTCACACCCTTAATCCTAGTGCTCTTGGGCCTAGCCCCAAAATGAATCAATCACATACTCTAGATTTAGCCACCTCTGAAAAAGCATGAGGCTTTGGGGGGACATCTAAACACAAGCCATAACAAGGCCCTTTATCTGTGTTACGAATGAACATTCTTTGGTTTTATCCAGTTTTACATTTTTTTCCCTCTTTGAGGCTCCCATAGAGAATAAGCAGGGACAACTGCTTCCATCCAGAAGTCTCGATTTTCTAGGGACATTTGTGAAAATCTCTGGATTAGTTCTTGATTTGGCATGACTGATTAAGCAAGCAGCTGCTTATTAAGAAGCAAAGCTGGGAGAAGAACAATTTAATCAGCTTCTGTTTGTTGAGCCTTTATTAGAAGCTGTAGCTGGAAGATATGGAGCACTCTATTTAGTTTTAAATGAAACATTTTTGAAAGACAGACTCTCAACATATACCCCAAAGACTAACAAAATAAGTTTACTGAAAATATAAAATATTCATCCAGTATACCAAAGAACTAATAAAAGCTAGATTTTAGAGGAAATAGATTTCTTTTTTTTTTTTTTTGGAAATAGATTTCTTAATGTTGAACTGTTTGAGTGCTTTTTTTTGATGTATTAAAGTAACAATTCATAAACTGTATAATATTGCATCATATAAAAATGAGGCACAATCAAAATATATGGTGAATGTTTAAAGATATTACAGTAAAAGACATATTGCCATTAATCTCTCTCAGAATACTTCTCACTCTTGCCACTTCCTGAAGCAGATCTTGAAGTCCTTTTTTTGTGAGTATCTTTACATGGTATGGTATGATCAAAAATTGGTGAATGCTGCTTCCAAGTGCCATCCAATGGAAAGACAGGCTCATAAGAACAGTACACTGTGTACGTGAAGGACTTGCTCAGCGAGGTGTACTAGGCATGCAGCCAGTGCGCGAGCAGCAGCTAGGGGCGGGGCCTCGGCGGCCCTCAAGCTTCCGGGTTGGGGTGGCAGGTTCCCCCATCTCTGTCAGCGTCTTCCCAAACCCTCCTGATTTTATCCTTTTATCCTCTTTTTGCCTTTTTGAATTTTGCCCTCCCTCACCCCAATCAGTGATGTTCCGCCTTGGTGAACAGCTGCACCCCTCTGGGACAGCTGGGAACTCGAAGCTGGGAACCCTGGTCTCCCAACTTTCATATGTGGCTTCTAGGTTCTCCTGTGGAGGTGGTCTTGGGTGAGGAGGGAAGTGAGCCAGGGAGCCACGTAAGGATGACTATGCAAATGAGCGTCTAAGTCAGGGAAGGTTTTAAAAGCCAGATAAGTGTCCTTGGGATCTGTGTGGGGAGGGAGCCAAGACCCCAGAGCAGCTGGAAGTGCAGGCAGTGGGGAGGAAGGGGAGTGGCCCTAGTTGGAGACTGGGGGATCTTTTTAGCTCTGGGAGAAAATCAGTGAGGTCTGAAGGTGTTGAGGGTGGGGCTGCAGCTAGGTGGGGGGGGGAGACTTTTTTGGGTTGTGAGCAGAAATGCAGGACTTCCTCTGGGGGAAAAAAAGAGAACATTACACTGTCCTCATCCACCTCAGATCTGGCACCATGCGACATCTGGGTCTTTGCCAAAGTCAAAATAACCGTGAAAGGTAAATGTTGTTAATCAATTCAGGACATTGAGGTAGCCTCGACAGCACAACTAAAGACATGAAAAAGAACTTCCAGAACTGCTTTAAAAAATAGCAAGAACCATAGGATAAGTACCTTCAGAATGAAGGGGAGTATTTTGAGGGGAACTAAGAACAAAGTGTCTTTGTAATACATTAAAAAAATTAAACATTCACTATAATTTTGATCACACCTCGTGTTTTATGACAACTTAAAAAAATTACTGAAATGGTCATGGTATGTGTTGAATTTTAACAGAAGTAAATGAGTAGCCCATGCCCATCTATTGCTCCAGGGCCAACAGGGATCATCCAAAGCCTTCCAGGCAAACCATTCTTACATTTAAGACTGAACTCCACTCTCATCTGCTGAGTGGTTCCATTTTCTTCAGTTATCTGACCATTTGGCCTCCAGATCTTTGTTTACTTTAATCTTAGAAAAATATTTTCACTTTATATCTCACATAGCAAATTATAATGATGTTTAACTTATGTACAAAGCTTACTTTTATGCATTATTTGGTTAATATTAAATCTAGGCTAAAAGGCCATAAATTAAAATTTTTTAATACCAAATAAGCACATGTTGAACTAAAAAAAATGAACAATAAAGTTAATGGAGTCTCACAGAGAAGAATTGCAATATTAATTAACAACAAACTAAAAATAATTAACAATAATTATTAACAACAAACTAAAAAAATGAGAAAAGAAGTCATGGCAGACATGAATTTTGTCAGAAGAGGCCCTGTGGGAGACTGATTGTAATTGTGATATCCTGGTTGGAAGGGAATGAAGTGGGGGGTTATTGCTCATGCAGTCGATGACTTGGTTTTTCTCTAGTGAATTGGCTTCAGTAGGTGACTTTATTTCTAAAAAACAGAAGTATATACTTTTAAAAATGAAAACAATGTAGGCTTATTGTAAGATAGTAATTTATAGTAAGTTATTGTAAGGTAGTAATTTATAGTAAGATAGTTATTGTAAGATAGTAATTTATAATAGTAATTTATAGATATAATTGATAGTAATTTATGGTATTGTAAGATAGTAATTTATATACTTTGAAGTATTTATAGTTGTCATTTCTCTCTACAGGTTGATGAAATATGGATACCGACACCAAACTGGTTATCAGCACTCTTTGTACTAGCTTTCTCACGTTTCAGTTTCTTTTCCACTTTGTAAGTTATTGGTTTTCTGCAAAAGTTTCTTCAGGTTTTAATAGTCTCAGCTTGGAAAAGAAGATTGAATGGAACTCAAGGTAAAGCATATAAAAATATATTTAACTTAAGCATTATGAAATAAAATTATTTAAAATATTTCAAAAAAATCTTTCATTAGAATCTAACAAAATTCAGTCAAATTTTGCTTTTGACCTTAGGAATAAAAAGAAAGACATACAGACAGATCTCATAGAAGAAAAGTTTAAGAACTATTATATTGAAAGATGTTAGGAAAAATTTATTTAACATTTTGGGGAAGAATGGGGAGATTTGGCCAGCTGATTATGCAAGTGTATTGTGTTGAATTTTTCTTTGACATATTTATAAGAAACACATATTCTTTGGCAACAATAACAGAAGTAAACATTTGTTGGAATTATGAATAGCTTATATACAGCTAATAGCTGTTGAACTCTACACACCAGAGAACATAATACACAATCAGTACATCTATATCTTTTAATGAACTTTGCACTGTAATTAGAGCCTTCTAAAATTTATTTTTATTTTAATTCTAAAGTAAAAACTGCCTTTTGGATTTTTTAAACAAATAGTGGAAAAAGAATTAGTCTTTGGGGCCGGGGATTTAGCTCAGAGATATTGCAGCCTGCTGCACAACTGCAAGGACCCAAGTTTGATCCCCGGTACCAAAAAAAAAAAACAATTAGTCTATGGATGAGGACATCTTCCAGAGTTTTCATAAGTTGTTTGCAGATGTGTGTGTGCTTGTATAACTCATTAATTTCACAAGTCTTCCAGTACAAAATGACTCTGACTGGTTGTCATGCTTTAGAGCATTTTGTGTGTCCAAACATCACAACACTCATATGGACAGATTTTTTTTATAGTTATTTAGTTGGGTTTAATGCTAACTATAAAATAGATTCAGCAGGTTGCCAAAATTGATGTGATTGTTTGTCATTGAAATTTCCTTTTAATATTTAAACTGGGTGTGCTGATATATTCCTATAATCCCAGTATTTGGGAGGCTGAGGCAGGAGGATTGCTGTCAGCCTGGGGTATGTAGTGAATTCAAGGCCAGGAAGGTATTCACTTTTATAACTCAGACTGAGAATAAAAATCTAGTTGTTTTCTTTTGTATTTCACACTGATGTGTCTGGTTCACACATACTGTAATTTTTTTCACCCCCAAAGCAAGAATTATTTGTTCACCTATTTTTTTTCCTTTTCTATAACTAACCTCTGAAATTTTTAATATATCATATAGCAAATTTTATTGATTAGACAAAAAATATATATAAAGGTGCCAGGGGAACAGAGAAGAGTTACCCCCCCCACACACACACAGAGTGTGTGGTCATTTGTGCATTTTGGAGCTTCCTGACTCTCTCATCCTGGATTTAGTCTCCCTGTTGTTTCCATATAAGTAACCTCTCAGGTGATGTCTTATTTATTTTTCTTGTTGCTGAGACAAAATGCCCAACACCCAATGTTAAAGCAGGAAAGGTTTATTTAGCTCACAGTTTGTAGAGGTTTCAGTCCATAATTGGCTGGCTCCAAGGCAGAGTGGCATGGCAGAGGGGCATCTTAGAGGAGAAACAGTTCATGGTGGGGAGAAGGTAGCAAAGCAACAAAGGGGGACCACAGCTTTTTCTATCCCTTATATCTTAATCCAGGCTACTTAGAGCAGGTAGCACTCACACCTTAATCCTAGTGCCCTTGGTCATGCTACATGCACCATGAATCGTACTCTAGATCTATGCATCTCTGAAAAAGCCCCACCTATGACCTCATGAGGCATTTGGGGGGACATCTAGACACAAGTCATAACAGGCAATAACAAACTAACAACCCATAATGCACCCCAGATTTCCCCCAGATGCATCCCAGGATGGAACTAAAGAACAGTCCACACTAGCGAAGAAATCTCTTTCAATTAAATGTCATGCCTGTGCAGGTTCTAGTTAGGAAAAAATCTAAATCTGTTGTTGTTACAGAGAATATATGGGATCCTTTCACCCTTAAACCCACTTGTGACATTCTTAGTTATTGGTATGTTTTATATAGTCTGTAAAAAGTTAATAATTGACTTGATTCATGTTAGATCTGCTTCATTTTCTTTCCTTTTAGTTTAATTTTCAACTCTGCCATGCAAATTTCTCTCATACCTTTATTACTGTAAGCCATCAAAGCAGAATGGATCTGACATTCACTGGACATCTGACGCATGCCAAGCATTATGACAAGTGTCTTTGCATTTGTTATTTCATTAAAACTTGTAGTATCTTCACTGGACAAATGTGTAGCTCAAGACCCAAAGAGGTCAAAATAAGTATTTAGGGCCACAAAGCTAGTAACTGAGGCATTTGTATAGGAACCCACATATGTCTGATTTCAAAATATATTCTACTACATATGGCAGATAAGACAAAGTTTATTAAGAGCTATTAAGCACCCCAGGAGCAAATGCATGTTAAAAGTCTCTAAAGACAAATGGTACTGGAAGAGAGAGATAAATGGAGGCAGAAAAAAAAGGTCTTAAGGTGCTTGCTTCCTCCCTGCCAGAACACCCAGAGGGTGGGTGGAGTCATTGTTGAGGAGCTCAGTTTTGGAGACTTCGGAGTCAGAAGAAAGTATCACTGCAGGCTGGGGCTGGCAGACCATAAAGTAGTTCTGAAAGTTTATAGACTAGCCAAAACAATGCTTTCTTTTATAGGATTCATTCTTTCATACAGTGAGTATCTATTATATGTGTGAATATCTATGAGAAACCAAGCATACACAGGTGAATAAGATATCATTTTATGAAATCTTAGGAAGTTCTTCCATCCAGGATTTCAGTGTCTGTTGAAGAAGAGAGAAAATTTATAAGCTACTGGAATAAATGTGACAACATGTACTGCCTGCTGTACTTAGGAGCCCCTTTATAGTCAACATATTGGGTATATGCTGATTTTTTTTCACTGCTATAGTAACTTTAATTTATCTTATGTTTTACAGAAGTCTATGAACGATTTTTAAAAAGCACCTCTTTACCGTATCATGTTTCTCTGACAGTTGTTAAAGTAGGCAATAACTAGGTCAGCAGCTTCATCGACAAGGATTTTAGATCAACTAACTACTTGCCAAAGAATCTGGCAGTTTTTCTACCTGGTTTTTAATACAATGATACATCCACTCTGATGGTTAACCTATCTGTCCAATTCCTCAGAACACGCTTTGCAAAATCAGTGGTGATTAGCAAATTAGTTAGCTTTAGCACACAGCTGTGGTCGCTTGCCTGTGACAGCCTAGAAGCCAGTTTTGATACTGGCAACAGAGCATGGAGAATGACAAGTTTCACACCGTAAGAAATAGAGCAGGTGTCCTTCTGCAGAATTGTCTGGTGATTGGCATGTGTGCCAAGGGGCATATTCCTTGATATATCTTCTTAAGACATTTTCTATCTGTTTCTGTTGGAGTCTTCCTTTGATTACAAATTGGTTACTACCATCTATAGAACCACTTGTACCCAGTTCTGCCAATAAAAATAAGAGGAGATATTTGGGCTGGCAATGTAATAGTTTACAGATATCTGTAAAGTTGACAAAAGAAGTTTTCTTGGTTCTTACTTGGACCAGGTTTACTTCGTTCCTCCTGTGGAAGTTTCATGACAAATTTTCTTTTCTCAGCAACCATATCTGGATTCTTTTCCCTCATGATGTTGAACATGCGATTCAGTAGCTCTTCATATGTGTAGTCTCTCCTTGAGCCTGCCCACGCAGGGCCTGTCTGGTTACTGAATGAGATATCATCTTTTTTGCTGTCTTCATCTTCTAAAGCTTCTTCTTTTTCTAGTGTTTCATCCTCATCTGGAAAGTTGACATTCTTTTTTTTCTTCTTTTTATTGCCAAGCATAATATCAGGTCATGCGCCGGTTCACCTGGCTCTTGGATGTCACTTTCCATCTTAAGTTCCTTTATACCCTCTTCAGCTTCGTCAGTATCAAATATCTTTTTTGTTTTTTTCTTTTTCTTTTGATTAAAGAAGTTCAAGTCATCTAGATCATCAGAAGCATCTTTTTTCCTACTGTCCTCTTTCATTGCTTCCACATCTTTGTCCTCAGTTGGTTTTGGCTTCACTTCTTTTGTTTCTGAGGGCTAGGTTTCTTCTATCTGGGAATCATCTTCCTCATCTAACATAAAGGGGTTGTTCTTTTTCTTCTTGCTCATAGTAGGATCAAGTCAGTAGAGTTAGTTATTTTGGTTTTTGTTTTGTTTTGTTTGGAACAAGGTCTTGCTATTTAGTTCAGGCTGGTCTTGAACTCAGAATGTAGCCCAGGCTGGCCTCAAATTTGAGGCAGTCCTCCTGCCTCAGTCTCCTCAGTGCTGCGTTACAGGCATGTGCCATCACACCTGGCGATGTTGCCATCACACCATGTTCCCTGACATGGCTCCAGTGAGACGGGTCAGCCCCAGGCCCCAGCGTCAGCGTGGCTCCTGCCAATACTCTTCCAAGCACTGCACTATGGGCATTTGCTGATTTTTGACATTTTAACATCCTTTCCACCTTGATTTCCACTGGAATGTCTGGTGAGACTATTAAATGTGGGCACTTTCAACACTTCAGTCACCTCAACAAACAGCCACCTTGTCCAAGCTGGAACCGTGGTCACACCCATCTGTGGCTCTTGTGCTTCCTTAAAGCTTGATATTAATGGTAGTTTATTTGTTTGTTTGTTTTGGTACCGGGGATCAAACTAGGGACCTTTCACTTGTGAGGCTGGTGGCGGAACCACTGAGCTAAATCTCTGGCCCTTAATGGCAGTTTTGTGTTCTGTTTTTTGGGAAAAGCCAGCTATGGTGGTGAGTGAGATGAACAGTAGCTTTAGTTGGAAAATCCAGAATCTTTGAACTCCTCTGTTCTCTGCTCTTTTGCCCTTTAACAACTGGTGTGCGCATAGTTCACATGCAGCTGTTTTGGTGACCAGTTCGTGGTAGATGCTAACCTGCCGGCTGGGTGGGGCCTCAGAGACAGTCTCTGCACTGCACCCCCCCCCCATGTGGGAGCTGAGGGGTCCCAATAGGCACTCCTGTTGGCCTCCTGCCTGCCCAGGCCTGTACCCAAGCACATGGCCACCAGGTCACTCTATCCCTGAGCTCCTCTTGCCCAGTGGGGAGCAGGGACTTGTTTATATATTTTTAAGAAAGTAAGAGGTGTGATTCTTTGTCTTAAGACTGCCACAAAGATACTATTCAGATGTGGTGTGCTACAGATACCATTATTTAAAAAAACCTTTCTGAACATTTGAAGATAGATAGAATGAAATGAGAAGGACTAGAATGAAGAAGTCATACATTCTTTAAATTTTGAACTATATTTCCTTTTCACTTTGGTTAGGGCTGGTAAAGGAGTTTGAGTCTTGGGTAGTTGCAAGCCAAGGAAGTAGGGAGAGTACAAAGAGAAGCAAAGATGAAATGATGAAATTGAAAAATATTTTCACATTGTACAGTATTTCACTGCCATTCTGTGATGCAGGAAATCACCATTTGGGAAACTGAGTTCCTATTTGAAAAAGGAATGTGGAATTATACAAGATTCATTTAGGTGTTCAAATGGTGTTTCTTTCAATCTCAAACTTACTCCTGCTTGTTTATTTGGGATTTAAGCTATGAGGTAGAAAAGTGCAAAGAATGAAAAATACAAATTTTCTTTGTAAAGCGCGAAATTCAGCCTTTGGTCTTGAAATATACAGATCCATACAACATACGTCATTCTTTCTGGTAATAAGGAAGGTCTCTGAACAATGGATGCTCTAAACCATTTGGTAGGAAAAGGACAGGAAAAAATACTAGAAAATGCATTCTTGAGAGATAGTAGACATGGTGCTTAATTATTGCTTTATCTTTACATTTACTTAGAGATATATTTTACATATTACAGTTTAAAAAATTCTGAGTTAGTTATGTTTACTTAGTTGCTTAATGACATACAATGTCCTATCTTTTTGAAATATTACTAATTTTCAAATGTTTCTCCAAAATTCAACTTCTTGAGAGTTCTATGAGAGCTTTATGATTCATAATAGAAATAGTCATACTACTTGTGGTTAATTAAATCAGTAACATTTGCTATTCTAGCATGTCATTCTTTAAAAATACTGTCTTTCTAAGAACGAACATTTCCTTTTAATCTTTTAAAAAGGAAATATTTCGTTTTTAGGGTTTCTTTTTAGATATGAAGGATTCTATATTTTCCTTTGCCTGGAATCTGATTTTAAAGAATAAAATATGAAATTTTTATTAACAAGTTTCTGAAAGTGTGGACTTTTAATATAGAATATTTTCCTATTCAGTATAGTGGGATCTATTTGACCAGGCCAAGTAACATGTAACTTTTCTCTCATGAATTCTGTGTGAATTTCCATCATCTGAGGACTTATAATGCTTCCCATTTGGCATGTAACATCTCATTAGAGAAGGACATTTGAAACCTGAGTGTCAGAAATAAATAAAAAGTTAGTTTTTCCAAAAGGAAACCTGTTGACTAATAGTTACTAAAACAGGTTGGTTAGGGTGACTATTTTTTTCCTTCCATAGAATTTCTGAATAGCAGCAGAGACCTGTCTGTATGATTATTTAGATGGAGTGTTTTACTTGCTATTAAGGGATTTACATTTTTATACTGCAGTGCACAAATGGAACACAGGTGTGCCTAGCATGAAAATTCCAGGGGTGTAAATCAGATAAATTGGGTTAATTATTCACATTTCAAAGCCATCCTTTGATATTACAAAGAATTCTTTTTCAGTGACTAAATTAGTGAGAATCTCTGTGAATTTAAAATATAATTGGGGGCCAGGGATTTAGCTCAGGGATTTCACTGCCTGCTGCGCAAAGCACAAGGACCTGAGTTCGATCCCCTATACCAAAAACAAACAAACAAATAAAATATAATTGGGTTTGGCATGCACTTAGGAGCACATCATCTGTTAGATCAAATGTATTGAATTGTCTAGTTGCAATGACATTTTTAATATCAAACTTAATATTGGTGCATATATTTCTTATTTTTAAAGATTTGGGGGTCATATAGAAATTCATTCCACATCAGTAATTTCTAGTTAATTTTTTCATCCTTTATTCTGATGAAAAGAAACTTCTTTGCTTATTAACTTCTAAATAAAGATGTGAGAAATCTGAAATTGGTTTTAAAAAAACCCTTCCATTATGTGGACAGTTGTGCAGCATCCTGCATAGTTCTTCAAGTAGCATATCCTAAAGATTGAATTCAGTCATTAAGTTTAGAAACTGATATTTTTCTTCTAACCCTTCTTCCTTCTATAAAAGAAAAAACCTAAATCTTGTGAACATTTTGCTTTCACCTAAGTGTTTCAATGGCTGATGTCTGTAGTCCCAGCTACTTGGGGTGAGTCCATGAGTTCAAGACCAGCCTGTGCAACATAGCAAGGCCTCATATCAAATCATTGAATAAAGTAGCAAAACCACGTAAATTTATGGTCCTCAGTTTTTCTATTTTGAAGTGCTTACACAAATCAAGTATAATAATGCATGTGAATGTACTTTTTAAAACTGAAATTTCTCAAGATAATAAATCTCCATGTCATGATCCTTTCAAATTGTTTTAAGAATATGGAGTAGGTGAACTGGAGATGTAGCTCAGTGGAAGAGAGCTTGACTAGCACTAATGAGACCACTGGGTTGCTGCAGCAAACAGCAACAAAGAACAAGGGTTGGTACAGGGGAAGTCTTGGCAGCTGAGTGGAACAGAAGATGCCCTACAGCAGTGCTGTTGGGGATGGAACTGAGAGCAGGGTACAGGGTAATAGCCTTGCCAGTTGCCGTCACTCTGCACAAGACTCTTAACTGCATCATCATGTATGCTTTGCTTTATAACTTTTCACCAAGAAATGATTCATTACTTTTCTAGCATGAAATTATAGACCTCGGCATTCTTCCTCTTACTCATTCCAAAGTAAAGTTGTGACCCTCAGATTTCTAAATGGCAATTTTTTATTGTACTATCAGATATTCTCCTCCTCTATATATTAATGCTTTGTGCTGTGTAACTTTTTCAGAATGTTAAATGTCTTATCAGAATGAGTTAGAGTTTTTTGCAAGGAGTCTAAAATTTTAATATGTACTTTGTTTAATTTCAGGGTAGTGTCTACATGCCATTCTTTGGTGGTTGGGATTTTGGGCCTATATATTTTCTTCTTTGATGAGGCTACTAGAGCTGATCCACTTTGGTAAGCTGTTTCTAAGCTAGTCACTTATTTTGAAATTGTTAATACAAACATCACTTATTTTACTTTAAAATATGTTGATGGTCTATGCTTTATTAAAATGCTTGTAGTCAGAGTTACTTCAGCAAATTACATTAAAATGATTTTAGATTTGAGTACAAATAATAAGGGCCATTCTGCCTTATTATTGTAAGTGTTGTCCAAAACAAATAGACTATGATAAGACAAGTATTTGTATAGTGTTAGTGAATAAAGCCAAGTTATTGTAACCATTGTCATGAGCAAAACTGAGTCATTATTTATTGAGATAGAATAGTTGTCTGGGTTAATGTCTACTTAAGACTTTGCCTTCAAATTGATTTTTGACCCATTGTCCTGATAGCAAAGAGATAACCTGAGAAACATAGATGGACACATGAGAGGAATTTACTATATTTCCTCGAAAGTCAGACTAGATCTTGTTTTTAATTTTTGCTCCAGAAGATGCAATACAGCTTATTTTTAGGGGATGTCTTATTTTTTCATGTAATCTACATTTATTCATGTATAAAATCTACATTTATGTATAGAAATCTGAACCATTGGCCTCAATCTCTAATGTCTAGCAATGGAGCTGTCCTTAAATGAACATTTCTTGTCCATGTAGGCTGCTCGTAGTGCATTGGCAATATAGCTGTCAGTGATTTTATCTCATGATTTCTTCTCCCAAGTCATGAACTCTTGCAGGCGAGGCTTCACAAAGCTTCCATTAAATCAAGTATTAATTAAAGTCTTACAAGACTGGAGTGGCAACAAAAATGATAGTTAAGAATGATGGTCATTATATTTAAACTTCAATAGAAAAAAATGTAGCTGTCATCTGAAAGCCATATGCTTTTAAAAAACTTTTTTTCTTAATATTTACAGGGGCGATTCATCATTTGTGAAATTAAATATTGCTACTGCTTCAGGCTACCTCATTTCCGGTATGTGATGTGTTGTTTATTGTCTCTTTTTATTTAAACTACTCATGGAATTATTGAAAAATACATTACTCTGTGCTTTTAGTTTATTTGAGAATAGCTTTTAGAATCAAGATAGAGGACAAGGTAGTAGAATGTGAAACTTTTTTTCTTGGCTTTCTGGTACCCACTGAAGATCTGAGTTTTACAGTGGGACCTCAAGCTATGTAGCCCTGGAACTTTTTGTTTTGTTTTTTGGATTTTTTTTTAAAGATATGGTTTCTCTTCTTAAGAATTTCTAAAGTATGATTACTGTGAGGCTTACGAAGTTTAAGCCTTGGGATTCCTTACTGTCTAGGGGCCTTGAAATGTGTTCCATCGGTTATAGTTTTGTACTGTTTAGGTAAAATTTACAAAAGTAAACTCTTTTAGCTATAATTGAGGTCACTTCTCTCTTACACTGTCTCATGTTGCATGGGGTTGGAGTAGCCTTTCTTACAGTGATTTGGACATTTGTATAGGAACCATTTAGTAAATGGTAAACTTATAAGGTAACTGAAAGAAAAGACAAAAATATTGTAATATGAAACAAAAGTAATAAAGAAAAGTGATGAATTCAACAAAATTTTGTAACACAAAAAGTGACTCATAATAAAAATAGATTATATCAAAGGAAGTAATTCATTAAGAGGAAGAGATAAGTTTTGAAGAGAAATAATAAATTGGTGATTGAATTATTTGATAGTCCAATTAAAAAAGTGAATCATGAACACATTGGAAAAAGATTTGTTCATTTGACAGAAAATGGTATCATTGACAAGGCTAGCACAGAATTTATACTATGCCACATGCGCTGATTAATGAATGTTGTCAATTTACAGAATAATTATCCTCAGGAAATCTTTTTCTGTTTTTTTGTTTCAGCCACAGCTTTATTTGTATTGTCAAATCAGTAGGTATACCATTCCCCCAAAAAAGGTTTAGGAACTTCTACTTGAGATCAAGCCCATTTTCACAGATTTGATAGAAATAAATTCTGAGAATGGTCTGTAGCATAACGAAAAACAATGTGAACAAATTCAAAATCAGATTATTCTCTTATCTCTGAACAACTTAAACAAATCTGAGCATCTGTTGACTTCTTTCTGCTTTAATCATTTCTTTCTGTCTTAAAATAACATTTTCTAAATATAAAAGATGTTGTTTATGGTGGAATATTTGGGAAGTAGAACAAAGTATAAAGAACAAAATAAAAATTATACATCATTCTACTATCTATAAGTAACACTGATAATATTTTCGTGTTTCTTTTTGATACTTCTTTGGCATACTGGATTTCTTTTTTTAAATTTTATTTTAGTTTATTAGTACATGTGTGTAGTACATAATGTTTGCATTCCTTGTGGAAAGTTGGTACATGTACATAGCCTATTTCAATTCCTTTTATCCTCTTTCCCTTCCCTCCTTCTCCCGTCCACCTGTCCACTGAGCCTGGTACGTGTTTGCAGTACATAATGTTTGCATTCCTTGTGTATGGTTGGTACATGTGCGTAACACATTGAAGTCCCTTTTATTCATCCAGTATCCCTCCTCTTCCTTCCCTCCGGAAGTCTCTTGATTCCCTTCCCCTTTGAGAAAGAGCTGTCTCCCTACCTCCTGTTATTAGGAGATCTTCGATGAAAGGCACTTTATTAAAGATTTCCCAAATAAGGTAATAATGCAAACAAATCAGCGAAGAGTAATGAAGTGAACAAACTTTTCTAAACTAAATTGAACACAAAGTGAATTTATTTTATGCTTTCTAGAACCTATTACAAAATCACTGTCATAAATTGGTGACTGGAGTATACAGTTAAAATATGTAAGGAAAATAATTTGGAGAGGGGTATCAGGAAGTTAACTACTAAAAATATTCTTGATTTCCCACAAATTTTGATAGTATTTGGGTTCTCTTTAAAATGTATGATTTGATTCCTCTTTTAAAATATTTGTATCTAGTTTTCTATTAGTAATTCCTGTTTTTATAAAAGAAGGTCCCCACATTGTACAGCTCTGCACCCATAAAACTTCTGGGTCCTGCCCTGGTCTTCATTCATGTTAGCTTTCCTGTTTATATTTCATGTTTAACCATTTTGTAAAGAAAATAGTTGTGTTAACATTTTATCATTCAGGGTTTTTTTTGGTACCAGGGATTGAACTTGGGACTTTGCGCTTGCAAGGCAGGCAGCAGAACAACTGAGCTGAAACCCCAGCCCAGTACATTTTAGCAGTTTCTGTTTTGTTAAACTATTTTTCTGGATTATGATATTTAGACTTAGAACTTTTAAAAGAGAAATTGATGCTTTTATCTCTTTCTTTGTATGTCTTTTTAATAGTCATAGTTCTTAGTGACTTTATTATCTTGAAATAAGTTATTGCACTCTTTGTTAATTTAAAAAATTTGTGTTGAACTTGTTATGAGTTAGTCATTTTGTATTCTACCACCATCTTACTCATTTCCATTATTGTAGTGACAAAAATCAGTAATTGAAGCTTATTTTCAATTCTTATTTGAAAAATGTATTCATTTTATATAATCCTGGAAACAAGTCACTCATTTATACTTTCATCAGATGTTATGTTACATAGTGAATCCTGGGGCCTGTGCTAGATTCTGAGGGTATAGAGATGGTTTGGTCCTTGTCCTGAAGGAACCACAGTAGAGTGAGTAATTCAGATATACCAGAGCAGATACTTTATGAGAAAGTATGTAATTGGACTAGCTGAGAGCTGAACGAAGTGTTATGGGCCAGAGTGGATGGTGAAGAATTAAATACACTTGAAAAGCAATGTAACTTTCCTCCTGTGTAATATCTTATTTATTTGTCCTTCTTACAGATTTGTTGATTCTCATTTTCTATTGGAAAGTGATTGGTGACAAATTTTTCATAATTCATCATTGTGCAGCGCTGTATGCATACTGCTTTGTACTGGTGAGTGCTAGAATTTACAGTAGTGGCCATCAGACAAGATTGTTATGTATGCAAAATTACATTTAAGTAGGTTAAAGCAATAGGGCAATCCTCCTAGAGACTTCATCAGAATTCCAAGATTGATTTTTTTAAGAGGTGGTATCTGTCTTGCCTAGACTGGTCCTGAGTTCAAGGGCTCAAGCAGTCCTAGCCTCAGCCTTCCAAGAGGTTGTGAATTAAGTAGGCCTACTATGCCTGGCTGAAGAGTGAAGTTAGTAGAGAATTTTTGAAACAAATCTCAGACACTAAAGCATATTAAATTCTCTACCTAAAATTATTTTTCTTCATACACAATTTTATATCCCTTGCATTTTTGTTAGCTTTCTCCATAGTCATTATTTTTTAACCTGGATGTACTGTACCAACAAGCTCAAGATTTAGATTTGTAAGTAATAGGTGTAAACTAGAATTTTGTGTAACAGATATGTTATAGAATTCCATATTTTCTCCCTTTTAAAACCTTGTGTAACCTCTGGCCTTTTTTTTTTTTTTTACAAAAATGTAAATATTACTAGATATTTATAATTATTTTCAAAAATCCATATAAATGTATATTAATAATGTTCTTTTTTTGACTCACATGAAGATAGCTAGTGAATAAGTTGATTTGGGATCATCCCCACAAGAATCAGATATATTAAATTATGTTAAAGCTCTCTCCTATTATCTGTGTAAAGCTACAAATTAAACAGTTAACATGTTTCAAAAATCATGCTTCTTTTAATGTATACTTATGTATCAAAAGGCATCCATAATTACCTTATTTTTTTGAAATAATAGGATATTTTTGTGCAGCATTTTGTATTGTATGTCATTTTTTAAAATTTTTAAGAGATTATGAATAGTAATGAAATACAGATGCCTACCATTTATAAGCACTTCTGCTAAAAGGACATGCAAACTGCCTAACAAAATATCAGTTAACTCTGGTAAGAAAGTATGAGTTTAATATCATGCTTCAATTTAGAAGTATATTCTCTGGACATGAGTCACAAATAATCAGTGCACTGTGAAAAGCGTAAATATAAACTGGTGAAAGATAACATGCTTTTAGAAGTGTGAATAATTTGAACTGCTGTTCTGTCTTGGCCACTGAAATCACAAGACTTGGCAAATGGCTGGCTGCGCATGGATTGGCAAGTTGAATGTTTACTATGTGAGATGAATGCTAGTTTCACTTTGGACTTTCATGCCTTTAAAAAACATCAAAAGGATGCTGGAGTTTCGAAAAATAAATTAATGGTTGTGTTGTTCAGTAAGTTAATAAGTAGAAGAATCCATTGCAGTTTTTTTCCAGAGATGGTTACTGTTTTAATGTGAAAAATTAAAGTGAATTTATTCATAGCAAAACAAAATAGAAAAAAGATGAAATGAAGAATATTTATAGAGTTCCTGTGTTATTTACAGATCTTACATTGATGCATTGAATATAAAAGGGATTTTTCCCATGCAGTGACCTCCCAGCTCACTTTGAATTTTGCTATTCTAAGGCTAACAAAAAAATAATTATTATGTTCTGGGGTAAATGGTCATAAAATTATCACTTATGAGAACTTGTAAGGCACTTTGACTTGATTCTTGTGAACTGTTTAAAGTTTTTTCTTAAATAATTTTTGTTATTGGAACTAAAAAAAGAGATGGATAGAAGCATACTTTCTGTAGGTTTTCAATATGTCTTACAACAAAAATAGTTGAATAATAAAAAATCCTTTTGGATTTAGGGATTTATATGTCACATAAAGGTTATATAATGTCTCCATTGAAATTTTTGTACCTCTCTCTGCTGTATTTTCTGGCAGAGTAATTTAAAGCTTAAAGAATCCTCTTCTGCCTATGTAGATAAGTAAAAATCCTTCAGGATTTTCTCTTGATATTCAGCTTTTACCCTTAGAGCAAGATACTAATTACCAAAGAAAGCATGGCAGGCTGATATCTTATGGGAAAGGAAATTAACTCATTTATGCTTTGACGGAGATTTCAAAGATAATCCACTATCCTTTGTCATCTTTACTAACTTCTCCAGTATGCTCTTTTTTTCTCCATTCCCAGTGAATCGACTCCTCTATATACAGTCAAACCATGCTTGTACATAATGATTGACATTTGGAAAACATGTAAACTTGAAAATCACTGAGTACGCATCCTTCTACATTATTACACCACCTTGACATCTTATCATTAAACCATTCTGCTGCAATTTAGGAATAAAATTTGGATTCAAATGAGTCTTTGTACATTTACATAAGGATACTAGGTGCAGCATAGTGCCTTAAATTAGGTGAGAATCTGTTTTTTTGTTTAGTGCTTTAGCTCAGTGTTTATATTTTAAAAGCATTTTCAAGCAAATGTGTGCAAAGTGATATTGAAAATGAAAAGATTTATGTCAGTGAAGTTTAATTTAGTCTAAAAATTCTTCCCAACAATCCCTAAAATAAATGCTCACTAATATTTTATCATGAAGTTACAAAAGAAAAACTTGTTCTAATAGTACTGCCTATTCTCTCTCCTATTCTCAACTATACTTAACTAGTATATTTCTTCCTTTTCTTTGCACTAGGATATCCTTTAAAAAGTTTAGGTAAGTGTAGTAACTGTTAGAGCAACATTTCAAAAGACAGTAAAATTTCAAAATTTGGTTTATGTTAAAAATAGTCAACTAATATAGCTCCCAAAGCAAGATCGAATATTAAGGTTAGTATGATTTTTATTTCCCACTAAATTTACATTTAGTAAACCATGGTAAACATCTAAATAATGAAAATTATCTTAAAAACATAAATAACTTACTGAATAATCTTTTCCTACCGAATAAAAGATTTTTAACTTCTATACTAATAAGCAACAAACTGACAGAAGTAAGTTTTGGGAATTGTTTCATTGAGCTTCTATAACTCACTTGTAACTTCATAACTGACAGAAATCTATGTTGAACCACAAATACACAGGTGGTTTATAACTCATTATTAATTGAGAAATTACCCATACTAATAATATTAAATGATCGGTTAAAAAATATGTATATAATATGTTTACATTCACACACATATACACATGTGTGTTTTAGAATTTATTTCAGCATTACTGTTTAATATAGAATGCCTGCTGGGCATATAGCTCAGTGGCACCGTGCCTGCCTCAGAAGTGCAAGGTCCTGAGTTCAATCCCTGGTATGGAGGAGGGGGGGACTAATATAGAATGCCTGATGGGACTATTTCCATAATTTTCAAACATAGCAAAACTCATATAAGCCCTTTCTCAGGTTTTGTGTAGAAGTTCAAGTCTAGCTTTACTTACATATACTTTGGTTACTGTGTTATGTCCCCTTTTGGTCACATAGTGTCTCCTTCAATTTGTGTAGTGGAATTACCTTAGATGAACCATCTCCGTTTCTTTAAGCTTACTTGATTCTTTGAATTATTGTTTTCTTTCAATGGAAGAAAAGGAAACAATTGAAGAATTGGACATGGGATGTGATAATAAAACAGCTGTCAGCTAATAAAATTGCCACTTCCACTCTAGTCAGTATTATGTTCTTAATTAGATTTTCTTAAAAAAACAAGTTTATCATATGGTTTTCCTTATATGGGGTACCTGTAGTAATAAAAAAAATAATAAAATTCATAGGGACAGAAATAGGATAAGAGATTACCAAGGGCTGGGCAGAAGGAATAGTGGGAAGTTTACTGTTTAATGGGTAAAGGGTTTCAGTTCAAAAATCTGAAAAAATTCTAAAGATAGATTGTGATGATGATTGAAAAGTAAATGTTCTTAGTGTATTAATACTGAATAGCACATTTTAAAGTTGTCAAAAGGGTAAATTTTTTGTTATTTTACCACAATAAAAAAGTTTTTAGAAACATAAACTTATCAAATGATTGACTCAAAGTTAGGAAGTAGAGATCTAATAATAACTAATATGTTGAACAAGGTATTACATTTATTAAAAAAGCTTCATACCTTGAATAAGAGGCTGAAACAAATAGATGGAATTTAATAGTGATAAGTGTTAAACTTTGCATTTAGGTTTAATAATATGTAAGAAAGAGGAATGACCTGAAGTTATAGGTGAACCACACTTCAGTTTAAAAATTATACATCACATCTGCTAACAAAGAAAGCTGTTTTCAAATAAAAGACTCTGTTAGGGGAGGCACAGTATCTAATTGAAACATGGTATAGTTTGCCTGGCCAGACCACACATAATAATAACATTATCTGGAGTCTCTAATATTGCATATGTTTGAGGAGAACCATTAGAAAGAGCAGCTAGCTAACTATAGAGGGGAGATTAGATTAACTGTTTTATTTTATTAACAATTGAAGGACCCAGAGATATTAACCTGGAAAAGACAAGAAAAAGGATATGATAACTTTTAAAATGTCCCTAGAAATGTGACAGGACTATTGAGTAGAAAAAGATTATTTCAGATGGAATTAGGATGGCTGAGAGCGCTAAAGTTCAGTGATTTTGCAGTAAGAGAGATTGGAAGGTTGGGAGTAAGGATAATGTATCATGGGACCTATGGAACTGAAAAGATCATTGTAGTGATTTCTGTGTTTTCCTCCAGATATAGATGTTTATAAGAAAATTGAGTTTTTAGAAATTTGGTGCTCAGTTATTATAACATTTTCTAGGTCAGATTCTCCAGAGAAAACTACTGACAATACTTAATGTATACACTTATAGGTTATATAAATTTCATCTACATTTTTGTATGTATATTTAAGCCTTTTTGAATTTTCTAAGAGATTTTTGAGATAGGTGGGACTTACACTGAACTTTGAAAAAATATGTATACTTACATTGTCAGAAAAAAGTAGGGAAAGCTTCCTAGATCAGAAAATATGAGGAGAAGACATTGGGAGAAGACATCAGCTTTTCCTGGGAGATATTCAGGAAATAGGGTATCAGGGTATAGGATTTGCATAGGCATGGGGGTAGTGTATATTTGGATTAAAAA